GGTTCACTGCGTAGCTATTCCCCATGTGCAGTGCAGACTACTGCGTTAAGTCATGGATTTTGGAGATGATTTGTTTAGTGTTTTCGAGGAAAGCGGTCGTCAGTCAAAGGCGTCTGAAGATGAAAAAGCAAATCCGAATAACAGTGGACCAAAAGAAGCTGACAAAGACCAAAAAAAGAAGTAAGTATCAATTACAAACCATATTCATTATCTCTTCGACTCTTGGTCTAAACTGAATGAAAATATTCAAGCAAAAGTAAAACAAAAGTGAAAGAAATAGCAAACCAAAAAGTGGAGTAATTTTAATACCCGAATCTGCAAGGGGCTGGGTGAGATCTAGTTTCAGATATATGAACAGATAAATGAATTCTCCAACTTTCAAGGTTTCAGTGCAGAGCAAAGGAAATGGGTTTATTTATTTAGTAATTAAATACTATAAAAATAAAATAATGCTAACTTATTGTTATAGCATCTTGTACATATTATCATGTTAACAAACTAAAGGACCAGTGATAAGACATTTTCTCCTTTCATGGGGCTACCTCATTTTGGTTTGTACAAAATTTTTTTAAGTTACCTGATTTGGTTTAAAACAGGAAAATGGAGGGGGATATTCCATTTTGATATTCTCTCTTGCTGCCTCTGTTGAAAATGTCATATTTTATTTCCAACCTGTTTATCTTTTCAGAGCACAAGAATTACTGCAAAAGGGAAAGAGGACTTTAGAAAGACTGGAAATAGAAACAGAAAACCCCGATGGAGTCAAAAAATCAAAAACAGATCTTTTGGCTGATATTAAGTAAGACTGGTTTCCTATACCTAAATCAATCTTACAAGATCTATGCATCGTCATTGGGTTTCTTGCTAAATTGCTTTCAGCTTAAGCGGCTTAGATGTCTGGCATGCCTACTGAAGCTGCTGAACGATGATTAATTACCCCCTTACAGCTTCAGTAGGTGTGACAGACATCTAAGCCGCTTAAGTTGATTGCAATTTAGCAAGAATACCCTTGGAGATGGATCGATCCACAGTTAGTACGATAGGGTCTGGGAATGGCCCTTAACATTCATTAAATTAATTGAATAAGGGATTAATTGTAATTTTTGTGTGATTTTCCAAAAAATAGAAGACTCTTCATATTTATCTTTATATTTGATTTTTAGCTTATCATGGTTTTAAAATGCTTTAAATTTAATTTTTAGCCAATCAGAAACCATGGCAGCTAGAATACAGATTCACAAGGTGGATACAGTTGAAGCTTGCTTACATGAGGTTAGTTAAAACTACATAATATGCTTTTGTGCTAATGTGTCTACTTTTAACAACAAACAGTGCTCAGTTTTTATACATTATATTATATTTCATGTAAGTTCCAATCAGTTTCTAAAAATCTGATTCTTACAATGAAAATTGAATAAATGGTTGTGGTTTTTGTCTTAACGGTGACTTAATCTTCTGATGTATAGGTTGCAATTCCACCAGAGGCAGTGTATGTGCCTCTGAAGACCCCTACTGGGAAGCCAGCCAAGGAGTACCCCTTTATCCTGGATCCTTTTCAGAAAGAAGCTTTGTTGTGTTTGGAGAATACAGAATCTGTATTGGTTTCTGCTCATACGTCTGCAGGAAAAACTGTGGTTGCAGAGTGAGTATATACTGTCCATTTGTAGTTCTGAAAGCAATACATATGTTATAGTCAATATAAATGGTAAATTATGCATCTTTCAAGATGTAGTAAGTTTCAATGTAGAAATGAAATCTGCTTTGTTGGATCAGATTAAACACCACTTTCTCTTCTCTGGATCCTTTGATCGTTGCTGTGTGTAGTAAATTGCAGCAGTTATTAGGATTAAATGGTTGTGATAAAGCATATTTAAAACAAAGTATAAAATATTTTATTGTCTTGTGTATAATAAATTACTTGATGTCCTTTCTCTCTGCAGATATGCCATAGCCATGTCTTTGTCAAAGAAACAGAGAGTAATCTACACCACACCAATTAAAGCTCTCAGCAATCAGAAGTACAGGGAATTGTTTGAAGAGTTTCAGGACGTTGGTTTGATGACTGGGGATGTCACTATCAACCCCACTGCCAGCTGTCTTGTCATGACCACAGAGGTATACGGATAATTCATGGACTCCTTTTAGTGTTTAATCCAAAATATCCTCATTATTTAGAATAAACACAAAACATGATTTATCTTAGCAAGTTCTGTTATCTTACGCGTGTCATTTAAAAAAGAAATAAGCCAAATTTATCTTAGAATGTTTTAATCTTTGTAGATTTTGCGAAGCATGTTGTATCGTGGTTCTGAAGTAATGAGAGAGGTGGCGTGGGTTGTCTTTGATGAAATTCATTATATGAGAGACAAAGGTAAGGGTGATAGCAGGTTTGGTATTTGTGTAGAACTTATTCATGTTTCATTTATAGAAGAAAACCTTTATCTACTTCAAGAAATTGTTGAATACTGAGATGACTCATTTGTCAGATTGATGAGAGACATGTTGAAAAGTTTGGACTAATTTATTGATTTTTTTTCTTTTAATTGTTATTTCATTTAGTTGCAAATGATAACATATTTAATTTGGTGAGTTTTAAATTATGGATTGAATTTCAGAGCGAGGAGTGGTCTGGGAAGAAACCATTATCTTATTACCTGACAACGTGCACTATGTCTTCTTATCTGCCACAATCCCTAATGCTAGGCAGTTTGCAGAGTGGATTTGCTGGCTTCATAAACAAGTAAGAGTAATTCCCTACAAATTTATTTGCACTTCACTGTTGTGGCTTTACAAATAACCATCACCTCCATTTGTTTCATAATTGGAGCAGGAGATGGTTTAACATAGATAAGACAAATTTTTGAATGTACAAACTTATGTAAAAAAAAAACCTCATTAGATAAAAGGTGTGTGTTGAAACATGATGAATGTGTGTGTTTGTGTGGAGAGCTGTTGAGAAGGATGTTGTAAATCGGTTGAATTACACATAATGCAATGTTAATCTATTACAGCCCTGTCATGTAGTGTACACAGACTATCGGCCCACACCACTACAGCATTATATATTTCCTGCAGGAGGAGATGGCTTGCATCTGGTGGTGGATGAGACCGTAAGTTACACATTACATATCAATAAAATCAGGCAGGTTACTGAGAAAGGTTGATGAAACAACTTGGTGTATATTTTGTATAGTATAGTATAGTATAGTATGCCATTACTTGAATTGAGACTTGAACACGTTTTTTTTTCATATTTACTAGACGTTTTCTTCATATTTGAAATTAGTTCAATTATGTGAAGGAATATCAGCAAATGTTCATCAACTTGTCTAGAGACATGTCCTTTTCTTAATAAGAGTTGTCATGGAATTACAGGGTGTATTTCGAGAAGAAAATTTCAACAGTGCAATGGCTGTACTGAGGGACTCAGGAGATGCTGCTAAGGGAGATCAGAAAGGGAGGCGTGGAGGGCAGAAGGGTGAGCGCTTCTTTGCGTGTTAAAACTCTCTCTCTCTCTCTCTCTCTCTCTCTCTCTCTCTCTCTCTCTCACACACATTGCATAATTGAGTGTTATGATAGAATTTGAAATTTAAAAAATATTTTCTGAGGAAAATACAATACTGAGTGCATCACAACTTTAACATGTTTGTCTGACACTGAAGGACTGTTAAATTCAATAATAGGTGAATCCAATTGCTTCAAGATAGTGAAGATGATTATGGAGAGGAACTTTGCCCCGGTTATAGTATTCAGTTTCAGTAAAAAAGATTGTGAAGGCTATGCATTACAGATGTCCAAGCTGGATTTTAACACAAGTAAGGACTCTGAACTTGATTCTTACATTGGTTCAATTGAATATTACAGTTACGGCTGAAATACACAAAAACATATCTGAAAGTTTGATGAAAAAAATTCATGGCATGTATCAGAAAAAGATGTTTGATAATTGGTACTAATTAGGAATATTTTATAATTGTTATTTGCTTTGTTTTAGCTGAAGAGAAAAAGTTGGTAGAAGAGGTGTTCAACAATGCCATAGATGCATTATCAGATGAAGACAAAAAGCTGCCTCAGGTTTGAATTATCCTTTATGAGTTTTTTAGTAATAATATAAACCTTTAAAATTAAATTGTTTGATTTTCATAATATGCCTCTTGGAATATGTTGATGTGTTTTATCTATGATGCAGTAACCAATTATTCATGCATACACAGCTTGATCATTTTAGCTTGTTAAGTTACTAAGTAGAAAATCTGTCAGTGGACAATTACAACAGAATTCTGGTTTATCTGTAAGTGTATTAGTGTATCCAGGCTAATGCTGTTTCTTTTAGGTGGAGCACGTTCTTCCTCTTTTAAAAAAGGGGGTTGGTATACATCATTCTGGGCTTCTTCCTCTTCTCAAGGAAACTATTGAAATTCTCTTCTCAGAAGGACTAATCAAGGTATGATAAAACAGATGGGAAAAATTTACTTTTAATAATTGAAACAAAATTGCCAATTAATATGTTCAGTGTGTAGATATTTAAGGGAAATTATGATTTAAATGAGGGTGATTTAGAAGAGATGTTTTGTTTTATTTTTCAGGCTCTGTTTGCTACAGAGACATTTGCCATGGGTTTGAATATGCCTGCCAGAACTGTGCTTTTCACAAATGCAAGAAAGTTTGATGGCAAAGACTATAGATGGGTGAGGGATAGAATATTTTAGCCAAAAATGATTCTTTGTTTTCATTCAAAGTAATGTTTATAGGAATTTAAAAATCACTTTTGTTTATCAAGACTTATTTGTGAGATTTTACTTAATACCCCTACTCTTTCTTTACCTCCCACTTTCCCATTACATGCTGTCATTATGCTCTTTCCTATCGTTTCCTGATAATAATTGAAGACCTTTCTCTTTACAGCTTACTTCTGGTGAATATATCCAGATGAGTGGTAGGGCAGGTAGACGAGGGTTAGATGAGAGGGGAATAGTTATCCTCATGATGGATGAAAAGATGGCTCCTAGTGCAGCTAAAAATGTGGTGAAGGTTAGTTTTTGCGTTGTTGTCTCAAATTCAAGTTTTCTTTCTATGAGTACCAAACCAGTGTGTGTGTGTGTGTGTGAGAGAGAGAGAGAGAGAGAGAGAGAGAGAGAGAGCTTGTTTGTGTTCACCACTAGTATAGCTTTTAGCAAAGTTGCTATAATAGTGTTGTCAAAGTGATAGTATACGATCTGTTCTAACAAGTAGTATAACTCATTTATTACAATAATGAATGAAGAAATTGATACATATCAAACATTTCATTCAAACTAAAGACCTCCAATCAAAAATATTTTCTTTTTGATTGTAAATTATATTTAAAATACAATAAATACTATACACCAGGGCCAGCCTGATGCCTTGAACAGTGCGTTCCGTCTGACCTACAACATGGTGCTCAACCTGCTGCGTGTGGAGGAGATCAACCCAGAGTACATGCTGGAGAGGTCCTTCTATCAGTTTCAAAACTACTCTGCTATACCAGAGATGTATGAAAGTAAGGGCTGTTCAGTTATGACCATGTTCAGATATGATGTTGTATTAGTGACAAAATGGAGACTAATATGGTCTCTATATAATAGAAATGGGTCTTTGACTTTCATATGGTGGAAAATTTACAAATTATGAGACCTTGTAGATGGGTCATATACAAATGGTACTTGCATGTGTGGAGAGACACACTTGTATTCAGAGGATTTTTGAGCCCAAGAGTGTGCCTTCTGCTTTTTATAAATGAAAATGCTTTTTTTTTTGTAGAATTAAAGAAATTGGAGACACAGTACAATAGCATAACAATGGAGAGGGAAGATGAGGTGGCTGGGTACTACAGAATTAGGCAGCAGCTTGCTAACTTGGAGAAGGAATTACAGAATTACATCCACAAACCACAATACCTTCTACCCTTTTTACAACCTGGGAGGATGGTAAAGGTAAGAGAAGATGTTCTGATTTAGGTGAAAATGACACTTCCTTTACTGATTAACTAATATATTTATTACCAAGTCTTAAAAATTTTTTAAAATAAAATTCTTTTAGAAAATTTATAATGGTCATTTTCAGCAAGGTTATTGTAATTTTCAACTTTCATTCTATGTTGCTTCCTGTTTACAATAGAAAATATATTGTTGGACAGTGAGAAAACATATTGTTTTAAAAGTTGGCCTTTTTGAATTTCCAGTATACAATCAAAATATTTTCATTTTAGGTGAAAAATGGGGAGGATGACTTTGGCTGGGGCATTGTTGTCAACTTTCATAAAAAAGCAAATCAGAGCAAGGTAAAACTAGTTCATTATTTAGAGAGAAAAAGAAACATCTGAAAACACTTCAATAGAGTATTACCTATTTTACAAAAACTTACAAAATTTAATTAAAATGTTATCTTTACAACATGCTTGAAGTAAAGTTGTTCAGTAATATCAATTTCATCCAGAACCCCACAGACATGGAGCCCCTGTATGTGGTGGAGGTGCTGGCCAATCTTACCAAGGAGAGTGCCAAGTCTGGCAATAGTGCTGCCATCAAACCATGTCCACCTGGAGAGAAGGGAGAAATGCAGGTAAGTCGTGTGTGAACAATAAAGAACATTGCCTGAGAGGAAAAAAATTAATTAATATAACAGTAAACTTATGGAATGATAACTCGACAATCTGACTATTGCAATCAGTTTAACTGTTCAGTTATGTGACCAGCCCATCAGGTCACTCACACTCATTTCCCTGTTGAAGACATAAGATTTTAATGATACTTCTGTATGTTCGTACAAATACTTGAGCGAGTTAGATATATTGTGTTCAATTCCCTGTAATCTTTTTTTTTATCTAGGTTATTCCTGTGCTGAGCCATTTAGTCACTGCAGTAAGCTCAGTTCGCCTGTACTTTCCATCAGACCTCAGGCCATTAGATAACAGGCAAAGTGTAGGAAAGTCTATTCAGGTAAGAGGAATTTTGGTGTATATTTGAATATGAAAGTTTGTCATATTGTTTATATAAAAGACATTCTATGCATTAATTAATTGTTTTTTTAAATCATTTAATTCCATTTGTCATCAAGATCAAGTAAGTTTTTACACGGACATGAGTGTAGCTCACTCCTACTTTAGTATTATTTTGCATGATTGATTTCAGGAGGTCATGAAAAGATTCCCTAAGGGCATCCCATTGCTCGATCCCATAGAAGACATGCAGATCAAGGACAAAGGTCTCAAAGAAGTTGTTAAAGTGGGTACATTTTCACAGGGTAGTCTTCTAAATTTTTTCTAAAATGGTTTCTGAAAACCAGACTGACTACATGAACAAATAATAATCTAGACACGCCCTATGCTTCCTTTTTTTTGGAACAGTTTGTAATGACAGAAATTCATGTTGAAACTTGTTTCATTAAAAGTGGCGCCCAAAATGCAAGTAAAATATGCTTTCTTTTTTCCAAATGTAGAAAATTGAAGCATTTGAGCACAGGATGTATTCCCATTCATTACATGGCAAGCCAGAATTGGACAAACTCTACACAGAATATGAAAGCAAAATGAAGGTAAGCACATGACTCGGTTAGTATATTATGGCTATATATACCGTTGGGTATCATTGTGGTAATTAAAATGGTTTAATTTCCTTGGCCTGTATTCTAATAGTAAGTGTAGTAAAAGAGATATTCATTGAATGTGGCATAACATTCCAGATTGCTAGTGAGATCAAGGTGGCTAAGGTAGAACTGAAAAAGAAGAAGTCACTTCTCCAGATGGATGAACTTAAATGTAGAAAGAGGGTGCTGAGGAGGTTAGGGTATGCCACTGCTGCTGATGTTATTGAAATGAAAGGGAGGGTGGCTTGTGAAATAAGCAGGTGAGTGATATGTTTTAAACATGATACAGCTTGTGAAACACTCATTAGTTTCTATTTATTAGTCCACCACTGCATCTTATAAAATAAACCAGTCTGCATTGTGTTGCTTCACCATTCCTGTAGTATCGCAAATTGTATTAATATAATGATTATGATTCATTATTATAAATTATATTTTCATTTATCTCCTGTAAATTCCAGTGCTGATGAGCTGCTCTTAACAGAACTGCTTTTCAATGGCTCCTTTAATGAGCTCACAGCAGCACAAGTAGCATCTCTTCTTAGCTGTCTAGTTTTCCAAGAAAATTCCTCAGAAATGCCCAAGCTCACGGATGAGCTCACTGGCCCTCTGAGACAAATGCAGGTATGAGTTTTGAAGTTTGTTAAAATAAGTGATTAAATAAGTGCATGTCTTGTTCCTGTTGTTGCAAAAACATGTTTCTTTTGTAAGCTTTCAGTAAAATTTATTTCCATTCTGTTTTTGAGAAAGAACTTCCAATTTCCAAGAAATTTTAAAACCAGATATGAATGGTAAACCACTTCTATAATCTGGATATTGAAAAGGTCAATCAGTTGATTTTGAAAAAAAAAATTATAGCTTTCATATCTCATGTGTAATCTTTCTTGAAGTTCTTTTAGATTCAATAGACAAGAAAACTTTAAATACTATTATTTTACTACTATTTTAAGTTAAAAATTTAATAAAAGGATTACACTATGATATTCCCATCTGTTTTTTCAGGATGGAGCAAGGAGGATAGCCAAAGTAAGCAATGAGGCTAAACTGACTTTAGATGAAGAAGAATATGTTGGCAGCATAAAACCCCAAATGATGGATGTGGTCCATGCATGGTGTAATGGAAATTCATTTGCACAGATTTGTAAAATGACTGATGTGTTTGAAGGTACAAAATTCCATCCTTTGTGGATTCCTTGTTATACTGTTTTAATTGGCAAAAGTATTTTTTCACTAATGCTAACTTAACAAACAAACAACAAAAAGTTTTCATTTAATGAAGAAATATGTGCAGCATTTTATATCAAATGTGTGATTGGTACCAACTTATGTTGCTTATTCTTTTTTCACAGGCAGCATTATTAGATGCATGAGAAGATTAGAAGAGCTTCTGCGTCAGATGTGCCAAGCAGCTAAAGCTATAGGGAACACCGAACTTGAGAATAAATTTGCTGATGGTATGTGATCTGAAATGTTTTATCAATGGTAGCTAGTGTTTGAATCTTTATTTTGTGGACAGAAACATTTGAAGTAATTGTACAAAAATTTGGAAATATTTTTTTAGTATAAAATATGTGGAGAGGCTTATTAAACACTCTCTGTACATTTAATATTTCCCATTTTCTTTCAGGTATCAAGAGCATCAAGAGAGACATTGTGTTTGCTGCAAGTCTGTATCTATAGTGAACCGTTTTAATTGAAGACACTTAAAAATGCTTGGACAGAACTTAATTTTATATGGAATTGCTGCCTACTTTTCCCACAGACAAGTCATTAACTTTCAAGAATTATTCATCTTAAACAGAATAATGAAATAAAATTGAAACATTTCTTTCAGGTGAGCCTTACATGGCTTGGGCTTTGTTCTACTTAGTATAATAAATTATATGCATTTTAAAAATAATCTGTTATACATTCATTGTGGATCACAATATTAGAATGTTTCAGTGTTTGATATGACGTACGTTAATATATTTTGATCAATCATATTGGATTAACAGATGAATCAATCTTACATAACCTTAGAAATCAATTCATTACTTTTTCCCTCCATTTTTCCTATATATTATAAAGTACATAAGTTTGTATATATTATGTAAATAAAAAGAAAGCAATAAAAATATAATGTATTTGTGAAATGTACAAATGTTTCATTTTTATATATTATCGGGAATGATTGGGACATATTTAATAAGTGAAATGTAGGAGTTATGAAAAAATTCAAACCAAGTGAGCACTTTGATAGAAAAAAATGTATAATCCTTATGCTATTTTAAAACTAAATATTATATGTTGGGGATTCTGCATATGGTTTGTACTTCTGAGCACCCTCTTTATCGCCGGTGTCTACCAAATGATGAATCTGAAAAATCCAATGAAAGCACAAACCTCACCTTGACAAATATTGTGTAAATCAGTGACAAGTAGTATCCCTTTTCATCAATGTAAAATGATGAATACAGATACAACCAATGTGGTTATGTTCCAAAAGTTAGGGAGAATAAATGGATAAAGAGATTGTCACTCTGGGGAAAAGCGAATAGGCATTGGTTTTTTTTTTTTTTTTTTTTTTTTTTCGCTTATTTGCATTAGTTTTGGGGTCTCCAGAGGACGTCCTGCAAAAAATTAAATCAGTATGGCCTAAGTTAACTTATTGATGTGTGTTATATATATTCTCTGTAAGTATAGATGAAACTTTTTTTTTTTTGTATAGACTCAACATTAGTATTTGTTCTATGTTGTATGTGACTTCACATGTAGTGTAATTACAGTGTGAACAGCAACTCCACTCTGAAAATCATAGCTATAATAAATACATAAAAAGTGAAAATGACACTAGGTACTAGTTCCACTGATTTTGCATCCGTCAAATAAAAAGGTTTTATTTTAATTTGTATCTCGAAAGTTTATTTCACAGCACTTCTTCTTTTAAAACAGATTGACAAAGAGACATGTAAAATCAAAGTCAAGCTGAAACTGAAGTTAAGAAACTGAAAGATGAAATATTCTGCCACGGCATGCATTGGCATTTAGTGTGTAGGTTATTATTTTCAGTTTTTAAAGCTTTGTGAATGGATCATGAATGCAGAGCACGTGCTGGGAGAAGTAAATGCTTAACAGGGCACTTGGTAAGACTTGTATCACTGTGTTGACATGCACTGCTGCAGAACAGAATAATAAATGCACTGTCTGTCAAGTAAGGTCACAAGCTAGAGGCAACACAGAAGTTGGAGCAATAACACTGATGGATATACAGGTAAAATTCCAGATAATTTACTCATATCTGAATATATTTAACATTTCATATGTAAGAAAATCACTCGGAGAGTGCAGACATATGCCAAGGCAGCTTAGTGCACATATTATTAAAGTTATTCAACTGATCACTACCAAAATCTGATTGATTCTACCAGTGATCTGTACTGAAAATTTTATCAAATATTTGTCCATAAGTTGTCAGGATAATAAGAAAAAAAGGAAAAATGTCATCTGTGCTAGTAGCACAAATAGTACACATCAGAGACTAGCATCAGGAGTGCTAACCCATGAAATCTGTACTATGAATTAGCATGTAAAATTAGACCCCATTCTGGACCATACCTAGATCGATCTAGCAAGATGGGCCCATCTCCAAGGGGTTTCTCGCTAAATTACATTCAGCTCAAGCGGCTCTGATGTCTGGCACACCTACTGAAGCTGTTAGGGGGTAATTAACTATCGTTAATAAAGATATATTTCATAATAATATGGGCATTTCATTATAAACATCATGCAAGACTGCAGCTATGGATTCAGTTAAAGAGCACGTTTTGAAATAAATAATAACCTATAGATAAACATCAATAACAATTAGGCAATTTTACAGTAAATGATGTAGACTCATGCATGAGCAATAAAAGGTTTGAATTCTTAATTGTATAAACCATAGTAAGGTTTTTCAGAGTCTCGGCAGAACTGGCCATCTTTTCACTAACTGGGCCACAACATATTCCTGCCAACCTGAACTACATTTTGAACCAGAGACAGAAGAACAGCTCAAACAGGTACACATGTTAGGATCTGATCACACTGAAAGCCATTCATTTATGAATGAATTTCAAGGCCAAGGAAAACTTGTTTTGCATTGAAATTTTGATTTACTGTAACTCAATCATAAGACTGATATTATCAGTAATACAGATTTTTGCTGATTTTCCTCCCTCCCGAATACCCTGTCTAGGACCCTCAGTTCCTTTTAGCCTCATTAAAATAAACAAAAACATTATTATTTTTTTTAGATCCTGAACACTGCACAGATCAAGAATAAGAAGGTGAAGGTGGTGGGTTGTGGTCATTCCTTCTCAGATCTGGTTTGCACTACTGACTATATGATCAGCATGAAGAACTTTGACAGAGTCATATCAGTGAGTCGCTGTACTCTAACGGCCCATTTCAATAGATACCATCAGTCTACGTAGATCAATCCAACTTTCCAGAGATTCTCGCTGATTGCAACCAACTTAACTGAATGACAGGCCTCCTAATCACTGTATTCATATTATCGCCAGCTTTTCTGTATTTCACTCAATGCCAGGAGGGGGCGTGTCATTCAGTTAAGCTAATTGCATTAAGCGGATTTCCCACAGAGTTTGATTGAACCAAGTAGCCCGATGCTGTCTATGGGAATGGGGCCTTAGATGACACTCAGTCTTGTGGCACAGGACATCAGTAATATATATGTGACGTATGATTCCAGTTTTGTTGTACATATTGCACCACACATGGTTATAGAGCACTGTGACTTCAGGTGTAGTAGACTACATTACAGCATGTATACAGTAGCCCCATCCACTCTGAAAACCCTAGCTTTAATGATCCATAATAAAAACATGAAAAAGTGAAAATGATATCAGCTGGTGGTTCACTGAATATACCATACCTTCATCACATAAAAAGTAAGTTCTATTTTTAATTGCATCTTAAAAGTTTGTTTCACAGCACACCTTTTTTTAAATAGATTGACAAGGAGGCATGTAAAATCAAAGTTCAAGCTGGAATTGAAGTCAAGAAACTGAAAGATGAAATTCTGCCACAGCATGGACTGGCATTTAGTGTGTATGTTATTGTTTTCATTTTTTTAAAATTTTATATTTAATTACAAGATGTTTGTTTGTTTGTGTGTGTAGATAGATAGATACCTCCGGTAGGTAGATCCCAGTAGGCATTGGATCAACGTTGAAAACAGGTTGGGCCGTTGATCTACCTAAATTTAACATAGGTTATTATTTTCATTTTTTAAAACATTTGGTATAAATTTACAAGGTATTTGTGTGTTTGTGTATGTAGAAAGATAGATAGGTAGATATGTATCTATGAATTTTTATATTAGTTGGCAGTGAAAGTGGTGAAATGTCACGCAATAAATATTTGAGTTCGCTGCAAAACTGTAATGGTAACAATTTATATCTTAAAGAAACATTAACCAAATGTTCATTTTTTTATCATGATGTTATTTTGATTTATTTTTTAGGTTGGGGTCTGTGTCAGAAGTGTCCTTAGCAGGGTGTATATGTACTGGAACTCATGGCACTGGAGGAAACTATGGGGTCTTGTCATCTTATGCAAGTAGATTTGTATTTGTATTCATGCATGCACTCGTATTTCTACACACTATTTATCTTTGTGATTTTTATTTAATGTCAGTTTATAAGAGTAGATATTAATATTGAAACAGTGCTTTTTATTTAGAAGGTGCAGTGTAGATGGAAGTGAACACGTATGAATAGCTCTTAACTGTAAATTTCGATTTAATTGTCTCCACAAACATTTTGCAAATATTGGCAATTAAATTATCTGTGAATTAAGAAAAAAAATCTGTGGAGGATGATATTTTGATTATTGATAACTTCCAGGTGTTGGGTTTGGAGATCATGACAGCTAATGGAGAGATCATTGAATGCAGTAAAGAGAAGAACCAGGAAGTATTCTTGGCTGCATGCTGCAGTCTGGGAGCTCTTGGTGTCATCATGTCTGTCACATTTCAATGTGAACCTGCATTTCACCTACATCAGAGTCAATACAGGGACACTTTGAACAATGTATGTATTAACAGGAACAGGTAAAGATGTAAACAGCACAAGATGCACAATTGTCACACACACACACACACACACACACATATGAGACATGGGCACATACACAACTCAGCATAAAATTAATATAACATATGTTTTATCAATCATTTTTATGGGGAAAAGTGTGCTTTATAATACATTTAAATATATGATACTATATGCTATGGCATGGCATGGCATGGCATGGCATGGCAACCCTTATTTTATTGATGTTGTTTATTCTACAGGTTTTGGATAACCTGGATTCCCATATCACCTCCTCAGACCACTTTCGCTTTGTGTGGATACCTCACACAGATCACGTAGTTGTGTACAAAGCCAACAGAATATCAGCGGTAAACATTGTTTAATTGTCATTACTAAAGGTTCTTTTCGCTCATAAATTGATAAAGAAGCTACTGTGTATGGTTCAATTTTTTTACAGTTATTAATGTTACATGAAAGGATCTTTTTTATGGAAGGATTGTTTTATTTCTACTCTAAATTATAATGTTTTGTCTTTTCTAATGCCACTACTAAAAGAAATGAGCAACGTACTGCAACTCACCTTAATTGTCTTAAACTGAATTGAAAGGAATGGATTTGGCAAAAATTTGGCATTGCATTTATTTTACTAAGAAAAATTTTTTCTTTATAACATGTTGCCATAGCAACAAAATTTACATGGGTACCCATCATTTTTTACTATCTCTGGCTTTGCTATATACTGATGAACCAGTGTGGTATATTTAGTGATTAAAATTGCTTTGCCTGCAAAGTGCAAAGAAAATCTTGAAAATGTACTGAGAAAGTTGGGGAAAAACTCAGTTGAATCCTAAAACATGTTGTCATATCAACAAAAGTACATGGGTACCTATAATTTTTTTCACATCTATGTACATCTATACATATGTCATATGTACTGAATACCATATGTGAGAGATATTGAATATGAATGCAATTCATCTGTGAAGAAAATTAAAAACGTGTATGCAAAAACAATGAAAATTCCCATATGGTTCTATAATAATTGAATCCAAAGTTCTTATCACCATAGCAACTTTTAGCCTTAGGCTATCATTTTAAAAATCTTGATACATGTGCTATATTGTCCACTTTGTATGTAGAAAAATCTACCAGGCAGAAATATCATAGGGACATTGGCTAAATCTTACAATATTTCTTTTTTCTTAGCCCATTTGTAGGAAAGACAGTTGGTTCTGGAATTATGCTGTGGGGTGCCATATGTTGCAGTTCTGCCTTCTCATCAGGTGATTATCTGAAATTGAAGAAGTATTGTTTAGACATGATTAATAATGAATAATATGGCACTTAGACTTTTTATATTAAATTTTAATATTGGATAATGACTTGATCTTTTCAGTGGTGAAATAGTGAATTTTACAGATTAACTGTTTTTTTTTACCTTATATGTTCTATTCAATACAGTTAAAGCACCACATATGCTGTATAAAAATAAAATTTTCATGATTCTAAAATTTGTATCTCATTCAAAACATCGAGTCATTGTATTAGTGTATTGTATGGGAATAAATAATTATGCATAATAGCACAAAACCCTTTTTGTTTTTGGTATATGAATCCATGAATCGTTACAACTGCATTCAGATAAACCCTACATACTAGCTAGATCGATCCAACTCTGCAGGGAATTCTCATAACAGTGCATTCAATGTAATCAGCTTAATTGTCTGACACCCCTCCTCAAGGGCAAGAGCTTCTGAGAACCAAGTGGGCAAGATAGTTAATTACCCCCTTTGCTGTTCAAGGAGGCATGTTTGACATTACAGCTGATTACTCTGATTGATTCCCCACAGAATTAGATCAATCCAGCTAGAATGTTGAGTTTATCTGAACTCTCCCTACCAGTAATTACCTAGCACACACAGCAAAGTTAGAATGCTTCTTTATCTATCTCTAATGAGTTACTTTATTATAAAAATTTTTTTTCAGATGAAATGAATTTTTAAATGTTTGTTGATTAATAAATTATCATCTAAGACAAATACATTGATATGCCATCTGAAAACACTTTTTATTGCAGTGCTTTCTTCACTTCTCTTCTTATTTATATGAACCGACTCTTCAGTTGGCTACTGTTCTCTAAACCAAAAGAGATTGTAGATAGGGGTGACAGGGTTTTCAATCTTGACTGTCTTTTCCAACAATATGTCATGGAATGGGCAGTCCCAAGGTTAGTGTCCTTTTACCTAATAAGGTCAATTGTGAAACCATAAACATTTGAAAAGAATTGCAGGGAAGTTGAATGCAGTGCATTGTGATGATGATGATTCATTCTGTTATCATTTATTAGTAATCCATTTATATGTTTTTTACAGTTTTTGAACAATTGTACAAAAATATCATACAGTAGATGGAAAATTGGGTTTTATTACATTACATAGTAGAAGGAAGAGTTCCAAACCTTTTCTTTTTTGAAGAATCCATTTTGGTATTATGTTTCCATTTAGGGAAAAGACTGCTGAGGTTTTGTTAGAGCTCAAGGACTGGATAGAGACAAACCAGTTTCCAGCACATTTTCCGGTAGAAGTGAGATTTGTCATGGCGGATAATATCTATCTCAGTCCAGCATACAACATGGATTCCTGCTACATTAATATCCTTATGTTCAGGTGAGTATATATATGGCATCACTATGAAAGAGGTACTTGTATTTTATGGTCTCTAGGGAGGTTGATAAAACATAAAATTATTCTTTATTTGGAGACTAAATAACATCAGTCAAACACAATGTTGTGTTTCTGTCCTTGATTACTGATTAATTATGGAATATGAATGTGTGACTTGTAGTTGTTATTCTGGCAGCCATCTTTTTTTGACTGTAAATTGTTTTTGGACAATAGGCCATACAACAAGTATGTTCCACATGAGACATACTGGAATGCCTTCCAAGATATCATGCTCAGAGCAGGTGGAAGACCACACTGGGCAAAGGTGGGTTTACTGCCATGAGGACTGTTGAAATAATAATAATATATGTTTGCTTATAAACCATCTATTTTAGAGGCTTGTCTTGTGAAAAGAAGGTGATTGCCAAGATCATTGCACTGCAACTAATTCGGTATGCCATTAAGTGTATACAAGGATCTCTTAGATAAAATTAAACAAGACAAGAATATTGTAGACGGTAACATCCATCTGTTTATCTTATGTCTGCAGTAGATTATATAAATTTTACAATTTATTTTTAGGACCATGGTGTTGTAGCTGATCAGTTTAGAAAAATGTATCCAAAGTGGACAAAGTTCTGTGAGATTGCCCAAAAAGTAGACCCTCATGCCATGTTTAGGAACCCCAACCTGGAGAGAGTGCTGGGAAGAAATTAAGACTAGCACTAGAAGCTTCCTTATACACTGCAACTGTGCTTTGATTTGTATTTTTGTAATTTATGACTCACTTGCCATTTCTTAAACTGATATTTGAAATACTATTCAAGCGTGTCTTTCATTTCAGTTTGTCTATTTCATGTTGACTGAAATTTGTCTTCTATTTGCTTTAATATGCTACATGTGTGATTTCAATATTGGCATGTCTTTTTATAAGAATGAACGATTTAAAACAAAGTTGAATGGTTATCAATCACAAAACCTGCCTTTATTCACACACAAAAAATGCCCCCTGTACAATGTCGCCCAGCAAAATCTGATTTTAGAGAACATTTCCCTCTAAAATACATAAATGCCCAATGCTCAAGGCTCAGTATTTATATTTTGACGGTTTGATGCTGTAAATGTGAATCGTGGATTAAAACAAGGGTGAACAGCATTTTAACAGCCGAAGAAAAATTCCCGTTATTTTTAATCAGAACACCCAGAAAGGCTTGAAGTAAAGCCGGTCTTTTATGGAGACCAAATTCTTGTAAACAAGACATTTTGTGTAAAAGGAATACCACATGTGGTAGGTCTTGGTCCTATTACTGTCGTGTCTTTTTCCTAAGCTGGATTTGCCTCATTCAATTTCTAGAAAAGTTGTAAGGGTATAGGGCAATGTAAATAATTGCAGCTAGTAAACTAAATGCCTGAATTCCATTGCCTTTGCGTCAAAATAAAGTTCGCTCTCTACAAACAAGAATGTCTCAACCTCCTTCTCTGCCGGGTCTGCAATGAATGTTTTTTATCAAAAATAAATTTTAAGATGTCTAAAAATACATAAAAAGTTGTACAAACAAAATGCTATTCTTCTTCCAAACTCCGTAAATGATTTAGATACCCGGGATACGGAAACTATGTAATTTTTTATAATTTAATCTTATTATTTTCATGAAACAATTTACCATGTTGTTTCTTCGCGAAGTATAAAAGACGACTACGTTATGAGTAATTTCATCATCGATATATCAGCTGCGCCAACGGTTTAGGAAAGACAAAAATGCAGCAAGTGTACCAACTGTTGAGAACCGATTGCAAAATGCGACAGGTGTTCTAAACGCAATTAACGCCCGAGACATTAACATTAGACACGTTTTATAGATTTATGGATTTATTTTGCCTTTCCTGCAAAATGCCTTGACGCAAAAAAGTAACTTCATACTCGTGTAAACATTCTCTCTGGTTCATGCATGACGTGGCAGTAAATCACTTAAGTGAGCGCGGCTTTACCTCACCGAGTTATCTCCGCCAAATTCATGCTACTGTCATTCGACATTTCCGATTCAGAAAAGTATGTGTTAAAGAAAGCGCTTTGTGCGACCTTGCTGCCAGATTTGATTAAATTCAAGGCTTGTTGGCGAATGAAAGGCATTAAATTGAATTTCGCACGTCTCTCACCTTAATTATTCAAAGTTCACTAACATTACAAGAAAATTCGGTGCCGTCTTTCATTAGTCTTGATGGCTCTCAATTGCTGCTACTTTTAAGAATTTAAAGACAATAAAACATTGTTTTGGTCATCTTTGGTCGTGGCTCCAGTCTATTTGAGTCCGTCTGACTCGGTGTGAGCTAATTCACCAGGCCGCACTGCAAGTACTGAAAACCAATCTGTCAATGGCGGTGAAGGGGACAACGGGAGGATTAGATATGCTGCCTATGGAGAGCTAATCTCAATCAGGCTGTCGTTCCTGTTAGTTGAACAGAAATAGCTCAAATTTTTTATAGGTGTTATATTTATTTCACATTCAATAAACCAACGAACATGATAATCGTTTGTTTGAAATCGAACTTAAATCCGAATGTTTCAAAGTTATAAAATTTTGGTGAAATTAGCTGTGGCCACAATATAGTCTCGGCTTACTGTAGCTTGGCAAGTTTCCATTGTCGAGCACAAACTGTCGGGGGATATACTGAGTTCTCGTTAATGTCTGTCTCCAAAATTCATAGTTCATTCTCATCAAGCATTTCAACCAAGGAAAGTGGCAAATGAAGAAGCGGTAACAAAAACCACGAGATCTGGGATACTAAAACATTCTACTCTCTACCAGAGCTCTAGACACTGGACAGAGCACAGTACAGAAAACTGCACAGCCAGACATATTTCAGAATATCTACTGGAAATCAACCTGTGATCCTGGTAAAAACATTCCATTGAATGGAGAAGAGACCAAAATCTGTTCAGTCATTTGATTAACCAATAATGGATATTACAGCTGACAAGAAACTAATGGGTTTAATCCGCTGTTAACCGCGCCTCGTTAAAGACCGTCTGGTGGCTGATTGTACCTAACACAGTGGACTTATAAGATGTTACATTTAAGTCTAATAAGTCCTTATTCGCCAATATGTATGTAGAATACGTATTGACTGCAATAATTTTTGGAAGTGGTTAAATATTAAAACGGTATCGGGATTTTCTAAAAACAGCTATATATGCAACAATTCCTTATATTACAAGGTGTGGTTATTGTGTACCGTGCGAGCGCGTGTGTACGTGCATTTGAAAGCGGGGCACTTTTGGTAACCCCCTCTTGCAAGAGGGTCCCAATTTCCAAATCAAATTCAGGATAGGTTCGATAAAATACTGACCTGTGGTCCTGCAAAGACTGAGGAACAAATCACCATGTTACGAGAGACTGGAATACCATTATCTGAAAGCAACTATATTGCAGCATAAATATACATTGCACTACTAAACTAGGACGTAGTTGTAATGGATGCATAAAAAATCGGTCTGGATTTTGGCCATGCAGGCCACCCTTTCCTCCATACACAATTATTTACGGGAAGAGGACACTAAGTTTACAAGAAAACCTTTGACAAATACTGATTTACAAACTTCCATTTCCGAGTGTTTATCATTGATTGACGTAATTGCTTTAAAAGTCATGCTGTGCTCCAAAAGGTACAGAATTTCTTCTCTTTTGAAGACTATTGAGACATTAGCCTAGATTTGTGCTAAGTTTACTTTTTTTGAGAGTCCTTTTGTTTTTGTTTAGTTTTTCGTTCGCCTTCTCCCATGATGTAATCAATTAACGAAATTTCTTTGTCAAAAAAGTAGCCCCGGTATTCTTTTCGCTCTCACGTCTAATTTTCACCTTCATGCTAAAGTTCTGCCACATGTGTCTGCTGGAGTTTCAATGCCACAAATAATAACAAAAAATGTTATGGCTCTCCCCTTTTTGTGAAACATCAGATGCCGGCCTAGGCTTAAAAAAAACTGGTTTAAGTGTAAGACAGAATGTTGAACGCCATATGGAATGCCAGCATTAGAAGTGGCACATAGCAGTTTTCAGACACTTAACATCTAAAGATCACGCAGACATCTTAATTCTCAATGCGTCATAATTACCTAACTTAGTGGATACTGCCTGTGTATCAAGATGTTAACACTGCAAATATGGTGCCCGTACAAAGGATGTGACTGGGTCAAAATAAAATCCCTTGATATCAGGAAATCCCCCAAATAATCACATCCCTGTCACTAACTAGGTTTCTAGTGGGGAATTATTTTCAGCTGCGTTATCTGTCAACCAGTATCACTGTTCAGAGGCCGATAGCTCTCCACTGATCGTTCGCTGGAGATTACAATGAGTCAAAAAGATAGATATCATAAATGCATTTGGTTAACGATCCATCGGCCCGTCTTCTGAGTCATATCCCTTGTGGTATTTCACTGCCAAAATGCTTGCTTATTTCCTGGAAATCAATAGACAGTCAAGCTGAAGATGTACACTTTTATTATCGTTATCTTAGCACAAACCCCCGCCCAAAACTGTGAGGACGAAAGATAAATACAACTGCGATTGAGACATGATTGCAATCAACAAACTCTGAATGCTCTTATCCAAAGATCGAGCATAAAATGCTGCATTGTATCCTTATTGTATGCTGATGAGAAAGTGAGATACAAATAATACAAAACTCAACGTAAGGGAAAGCATGGACATAATACTGTAAAACCTGCGAAACAATTGGGGATATAAGTCGGTGTAGAGATTGAGCCATCGAGACATATTGAGAGGTATTTGACAATTGTTTAGACAGAAAATATCATTTTAAGTTTTGAGGTTTATTTATCAGCTGTCATGGAAAAGAGGCCGCAATATGTTTCAGAACTTCTTCAAACCACATTAGCAAGGACGCATTACCAGGAATTCCACATATATAAGAATAACATGGGCAATTTAAAGAAACTTTTAAGGCCTAGGCCCTAAATTTAAAATCCTTTTACAATAATTGATACAGCAAAGTTTCATTACTTTATATCTGCCATCTTTTTTTATTCATAATTTTAGACTTTGAATGTAAAATTTATAATTTTAGCGCCTAAGCGCATTAAGATTTTATTGGCATGCGTTTTATAAGAATAAATTACCATTAATATTATAATGTTTATAGCAAATTCCGATGTCTGTTGTTCAGCTAGTTTATGATGGATCAATCCAGGAACTTCCGAGCCAGTTACTCCGAAACATGTTTTTTTTACACCGAAAAGTTCCTATTTGAACATACCTGATCATCAGTGATTTGCGTATTTTTCGTATTCCATTATTCCAACAGATTCATCAGAACTTCTGTGTTTAGTTGTGCAAACTGTAGTTAATCGCAACTGAGATCTTTCGCGTAATCATCGATTTGTTTTTCTTTGAAAATGATGCCATCAGTGGCATTTACTATGCACTTAGCCTGCATCTGTCTGTCAGGGGGCATCTACAGCGCACCGGATTAGCTAATAGACTAACTTCAGGATGTTTTATTGCACCCGCCCGCTACGTTATCCCCGACAAAACCCAGACACCACAGTTAGCACGGGGTCATTGATGGACATCGCCAGTGTCTCCGGGGTGAACCTTACCCAGGTACATGTATATAATGAAAAATTCACATGCCACTCCTGGATGTCCCAACAGCAAAGCCCCCTTTTAACCGGACGGCGTCCTCTCTGCGTCCCGTAGTATGGTCCTGTTTGAGAGTGAAAAAAAAATAATAATAATTTACATGCCGATAACAGGCCGATCATTGCGCATTCATTCTAAAACCAAAGGGATGCTTGGGCCTCCTTTTTACGACCACAGCGATGCCAGTTTCATGGTCGCAAAAAGGACGCAGAAAGTACACCGTCCAGTGTAAAGGTGGTTTAAGGTACCGGTACGCATCCAACCTGAAAACGTGCCTTGTTTTATCTAGAAATGTTTGACATAGAAAGCACGATCCCCCGTTTCAGCTTCCCTTCAAACGTTAAATGTATGTATATAGAGGAGCGATTTTACTTCCACACTTGCGTAACCCTCCCACCGATAACAAAAACCTGGAGCATCAGCACTAGTATCATAACAGCATTTCCGATCAAATCTCGACTTTATTTCTTAATACAAAACATTTACAGCATATTTACAGCTCTGCCTCTAACGCATATCGAATTTCTACGTAGTTTGAGAACGGACACTCAATTCATCTAAGTAACATCGTTAAGCCTAGACCACATCTTTTTCACTTTTGTTATTTAATCATAAATTCCTTTCTCTGAATGTTCCGCAATTTCAGACATTTAAATTGTTTTCTACGTATCTAATATACCATTTACATTGGATTGTTTTATCTAAAAAAAGAAAGTACAGGCTCCATGTTCTCGAAAATGCAGCGTCTCTAACCTCCCAGAAGCCTATGTTGGATAGCTATAGGAACTAAATCTGTAACGAAAACCCTTACGTCATACCAGGAGAGTAATACTGTACAAATGGTTCTAAAATAAATATATATAAAGTTCATTAAAAGCAACACCAATTCAACAGAATACAATAACTAAATGTTCAACAATAACAAAGACATTATACTGGCCTTACCCCCGGTCAAAACACACAGGAAGCAGTGAAGGGCTAATTTAGGAAAGCAGTCTATAACGGAGGTCGAAATTTCTAGTCTGTTCCTCTTACAACGCTCTGTCTGTTCAATTTGCAGAGGCTGTTGAATAAACAGCTCCGTAGCTGTCACTTCATTTGTTTTGCAACTTAAACCCATTGAGAAAGAGCGTCGCAGGTAAAAATGTCACCTGTCACCGGACTCGGGTAAATATTGATCCTAGGAAGTAAGGGCCGCCAGGATTGACGGCTGTCACACACACGCAGAGATCGGAGTGTTCTACTAAGTATGATATACGTCTATTATTCTAATACGGGGATAGACGACCATAATACATGTCTAGGTTCAACACATTCCTTCAACATTAATTACATATTTTTGCACTTTTATTATTTTCCACCATCTTTATTTCATTATTCATTTTCAACACATTAAACAGTTGCCATTCATTGTTTCACGCACTGACACACCTTGTTATGAACATTGTTCTTATTTATAAACACTTTTTAACAGTAACCGGTTATCACTCTCGCTGTTTCATTTGCATAATAAAGAAGGGATTTGGCATGGAGTTTTCTTTGATAAAAACATATCGACCTTCCCTTTATTCTTTTGACTTCTTTCTGTTTTTATCTCTATTTCTCTTTCGCCTCGCTGGTTCTTCCTTGCTTAACCTGCTGGTCGAGTCCATGCCAGCGCTAATAACGTCCATTCCGCTTTGACAAATGTCCGATTTACGCATGGCTCTTGTGGCTTTCTTAAAATCTTGTGATTTTCTCGGCCAGGGCAGCAAATACGTGACCACCAATTTGTCCTGAATTTTCCTCCCCATAACGATGTAATTTTCCGCCTTCTTCTGTTGCTGTTTCAGGCGATCACACTTGCAGTTCGCTCCATTTTCGATGTACATGCTAAGACGTTTAAATTCTTTCTTATCTATTGGGCTGTCTCTCTTCAAAATTTTCAATTTCTTCTTGGATATCATGAGTTTGGTATCAGCATTCTTGGTGACAGATTTGCGCATCCTCACTTTTATCACTGGAAAAAGAGGAACACGTGCTCGTAGTTATTCACATAAAATACGTTAATAAACTTACGTTTCAATAGCAGAGACTTGCATGATCATGTCGTATTAAAAGGACAGCACATTGTTGTAAAAAGTTTTGAAAATCAACACTGTTTCATCTTTCAAAAAATGACCCACAACAGTACAGCAGGGGAGACAAAATAATAAACATAAAATGATAAACAATAACACCCCTTCTAAAAAAAATCACATGTACTTTTACCCCTCCCAGACACACACACACACACACACACACACACACACACATATACCCTCTACCAGGACCACAGAGAGATTTGTGTACTGGATATTTACAGATATTATCTGGCTAATTTTGTACACATTTTCGTACTGTGGAAATTTTGGCAAAAGATATCAGAAATGGGGTCATCACTCAGCTGGCCTCTGGTTGAGAGTACACCAAACATCAAAGTCCGGCTCACTTCCACGTTCAAGCTTGCACATATCCCTGTAGGTTTAGGTCACTACGTCCTGAACAGGAAGAACAAGCTCACAACACGGATATCAGGCCACGTATTCTTACATTTTAGACGAGTACTGTGCGCTACTTTGAAATCCATATAAATATATCATGGGGAAATAGCATGGCCTTCTTTGCTAGATAACGAAAGTGGCATGCCATCCTTTCACAATATTACTAGTAAAATCTGTTTTCTCATTTACTCAAAGGTCCCATCCCTATCTGCTTAGTGCAAATAAAATCTATCACCGTAGCACACAGATGATGCAGATGACGAGAAATATTGACCAATGTGAACAAATAGATACACACACACACACACACACAAAAAAAAAAAAAAAAAAAAAAAAAAAAAAAAAAAAAAAAAAAACCGAACAACAAGCAAGGCGATAAACCATGTAAAATACACCTGCTTGATATGAGAGATTTTGGTTTCGTGTATCAGCAGGGTTTTAGATGTGTGAGCTTTGAGCCCTGAGCAAGATATGCTTTACATAGAGGAAACTTTTCTTGCACCAGGTAGAAAGATTAAGTGGAGATAAAATAAACAGACCCAGCAGTCCGTGGCTTTTAACCCAACATGGCTTCTGGCAAAGTATCAAAGTTTGCTTTCGGCTATTTTCTGTACTCAAGTGCAGAACTACGTGATTTTAACTTTAAGTGCCAAAATTTCCCACCCCCATGAAGACCTGGACCCCAAGCGGTCGCTGCACGCTCCTTATGCAATTTCTTTTGAAATTTAACTTGGGGTTTGTCTCTGTCCATTTCCCTCACAAAAGCCCACAGTTATTATCTCCCAATCTTCTCGTTCTCTATTGAAGTGTCACCTTTCAAGGGTTTACACCAGTGCATTACAGGAATAATTATTGCACGTCTTGAAAAGCACTATAAAAAGGTCCGATGCGGTCAAAAATTCTTCTAAAAATTTTTTTAATGTCGAGTTCAAGACCCTTGCTCATTCAACCACAGAAAACTCACACCAAATAGAGGCCTGGCTGAAACATTTTGAACAATCTTGTTATATTGTCGTGAAATTTGATGATCAAATGTGCCAGACAGGCAGCCTGGGGACATGCAGCACCCCTAATTGAAACTAATAAGGCACTTACCGAACTCAGAACGGCAGAAGTTGTGAATCAGCCCCTCAAATGTGTCTGGCTGCCGACAGGCCTCGCAAACGTTATTGTCCACTGCAATGAAAAATGGCATCAGTTACTCCGCTTTGTACCAAGGTGCGAAAACATAAAAGGGGCTAATTCTAGTAAAATGAGAAGGTTGTTGCCGCATCTTTAATGGGATGATTATCACTGCACCTCCCCTTGTTGAAATTCATCCATTCATCCAGGCAGCTGAGGTAGTCTGGGTATTTATTGCACCTCACGGCCCATCAGTGGCAACACCTTAAGGACTGACAGCAGAAGACGTGGCCTATTAGTGTCACATAAACAATGTTTTTCGAATCATTTTTGAGGCTACTAAAAGCAAAAATGCGGTGTGGTTTTTCGTTTATGGAAACAATACAAAGTGATCATAAATAATGACTTTACGCCCAGCTCAAATTCACATGAGCCGCCGTGCTAAAAGATGCAATTCCGGCATCGCGATAAATCATATCAAGTCGTGGAACTGAAAGTCTTTAAAATATTTATTTTTCCACAGCATTACCTCTTTTATGAATCGTTCTGCGTTCTTTCATCTGCCAAAATCGGTGTTAGTGGGGTCACACTCATACCCTCCACTGTTTATGTTTCTTGAATGAGGAAAATAATTGGAAAATACACACTTACATACAGTTGTGTGGGAGTTGTGGATTTTGCTCACCGAATGTGTACAAGTACAGGTTTGGCTTAACAAACAAATTAGTGTTAAAGAGAAGTGACGTTAAGGTATTTAGATATTCAGTAATTCGTTTACGGGACTAGAATAATGAAATTTCGATCATGCTTCCCTTTTAATGGAATGAAATATTGTATAAGTGAAGATTCAATTGCAAGTAAAAAAATTCACAATTGCAATGGTATGTGGAATGAGTTGTGTTGCTCTGGCATTTTTTCTTGTTTATGTATCCAAATATATCTTCTACACTTGAATAAAACTTCCTCTCGACTTTAATGTTTTCACTACGCCGTTTGATTGAATAGCTGTCAAGGAGCAGTATGCAAAGAGACGTTGCGCTGCATACTGAATGAAGGTTGTTTATTACAGGAGTGAGAAGTAGACTGGCAAAAAAGCCACACTGGCAAAAAGGACGCAGCTAATTCGGTGCGGCACAAGAGACGTGTAATTCTAAATTACTTTTCCTGTTATTGCTTGCAGGCACGCTCATTGTAGCATGGGAGATAAAAGTTAAAGCAATGCAGTAACAGGAGTAGCAGCACTACTACAAATTCTCAAAAATAGCTTTGCGAATGAACAATTAAAAATTAGTATATGCAAAATGTTGAAAATTACCCAAAGAATTCCGTTTTAATCATGCAAAACTATTACAAAATGCTTTAAACAACACAATGGACTGAGAAAGCTAGGCCATAAACCTATTCGAAGTTTAGACAGAAGAGAATTACAATAATATGGTATCTATTTTTTTTTTACCTTGTTGCTTTTTATTTTGCGTCGTAATACACAGATCGTTGTCCAAAGGGAACTTGTCACAGCGCACCATCTCAGGCCAATGAAAGCCGTGAGTTAACATACTCTCCGCACAGCCCTTTTTCACAGCCTCACACAGGGAACGACACGGCCAGATCGGTCGGTCCAGACAGACGGGTGAAAACAAGGAGCACAGGAATAATTTGGTGTCGGGATGACACTGAATCCCCAAGAGTGGCACCCAGGAACCTGCCTGCTGCTTCACCTCAGACAACGTATCGTGGTCCAGAAGATTGGGCAGTCGCATCTGGCTGTAACCTATGTTCTGACACAGGGAAAGATTCTGCGGAATGTCGATGCATTTTGGTTGATGTGCTCTCCCACTCAGAAAGGCCCACTCCGTGCCCCAATCGTTGAGTGGTGGTGCTGAGAAAACTGGACCCGTTAAGGAGAAAACCATCAGAAAAATAACACACAATGCACCTTGTTGTATCTCCATATTGTCCGTGATTGTAGTAAGCTCCCGGTTTTACAAGTCCAGCGTTCAGCTACAAATCCATTGATGAAATTCCCGGACTGTGTTTGGTATAGTTCCCCACCAGTCGCAGACTTCTGATGTATCTGTTCTGAAGCGAGCTTTTGCTCTCACTACCTAAGGGCGACGCAAGCTTTTAATTCCTCCAATCCGCGCCGCGGCTTGTAGCTGTCAATCAAACGCTGAGAAGTCAATCACAGCCCGCACAGACGTCTAGTAGAGTTTACGCGATTAGCCGGAGTGGAAAATCATCGATCACGTTTACTCAACAAACAATGGTTTAGCTACCTCTGTGACCGAACCCGTAACCTCGATTGAGCCAGGTAAAAGTACAGGTTAAAAAGACATTATCGTGGGAGATGTCTTTAAAACAGAGACGGCGATTAAAACTCGTAGGAAAAAGATGAGCTGCTAAACGCATCTAAGTCAACAGTTCAGTGAAAGGTGCCGTTTAAACGTCTACAGCGTACTTCCTCAGGTAGACTTCTATCACCTATCCCCTTTATGAAAATAGACTGAACTTGTATACACGGGGTCAATAATCCTAAAACCTCACAAATAAAACTACTGCCAATTTCCACAATACCCACTGAGGTGCGTTAGCCGTAATTTAGTAGAACATAAACAATACGTGATCCATTCTTGAGATAAAGAATAAAGAACACGGAAACATGCCAGAGCTGTGTCAGTAAGTAACTCAGGGTTTGTAACCATACAAGCAGACGTGTCTTGAATACATGACTTGAACAAATGGATTGGTTTGGCGATGTTTGTAGCGTAGATTAATTACCTTAATGATTTAATGTATGAGGACACGAAACAACACAGGGCGTGCTTTGAGAAAGGGAAAATAAATTCTTTCACTCGCAAGAGATTTCCTTTTTGTCTGCGTCTTAAAACAATTTTCGTTCTACGTATTTAACTGACCGCAGTTCATCAAATCCCAAGGTGTATTTTTTTACTTAGATTTTACATGTAAATCTAGGTTATCGCCGTGAGAAGCACTCGTCTCGTCCCAGTAGTACACGTCAGACACAGCAGATGGTGATCATCATGCCACTCACCCAGGTGTTCAACACAGTTCTGCCATCCAGAACTGATAATTATCAATGACACTAATTGAGAGTCGAATGATACTAAACAAGGTAGTCAGCCATGTAGCCAGGCTATTCCACACTTGACTATGTTCCACTCAGTGCTTTTCAACTACATGACGATCGCCGCGAACTTCGCGTAAGTTGGGGATTACACACATACATCCCTCTGTTGTTTGTCATTTTTTGAACAGATGGTTTGTAGCAAGCGTTTCCCCGTGGCAGTCATCTTCTCTGAGTTTACATAACTCGACTCCCTGGTTGAAATACGAAATGTCAAATTGAACATAAGACCAGAAGTTGTTTGAGTCCTTCAAAAACGGGTTTGATGTGTGTTTTACGTAAACTGTATACTTTAGGTGAATAAAGCTCTGGCTGACGTTAGACTTTATAGCTGACAAGTAATAACAAAAAGCGATTACAACCGATTAAGGAGAAACCGATTGCGAGTTCATATTTTGTCTGCTAAATTAATGAGACCACGGACGACAAATACTAAAACATACTCAGAACGAAGAGGGGCCAGGTAATTTTTTCCACTTTGCAAGTATGTTACATTTTCATATATCACAATCAATAGATCTGTTATCCAGAATTTATTACATACATCTTATTCTATGTATGACTATATATGAGCGACATATTAATACTACAGTATCACCAACTTGTCTCGTTGAAATGATAAAGACATTTTTGCCCTACTTTGAGTGAATCATTATTACATCTAAATTCTTATATCATGGTTAGGCCTATGGTGCACAGGTACATACGCATAAAGACGGTTACTCATTCTGCCTTTGCGGTCAAATTTACACAGGTCTATGAAGTATGTACATTAATTAAAAAAGTTTGACAGCACACGCAAGGTACCGCTCCTTTGTATCCTGGTACTTTTTACTTATCGACAATTTTTTCTTTTGCTAAATTCTAAAGAAATTATGTTAGTTTTTACACGGTAGACCACGACTATGGATTTCTTTTCTCGTTCGTTCTTTTTATGAGGTTTCAACTTCAACCTATTTTGCTGAATCTTGGATCCTTGGATGATGGTTTATTCTTCATTGCATTTATATAAGACTATGACTAGCGGAGGACTCAACCTTTTTTCTGAATGACATCGATATTAATATCAGACGAATATGTTTTATCATAGCTGCAACGGGTCTGGCAATATATCATTTGACAAAGAATACACCCTAGGCTCTTTGCTAGCTGATGTGTTCTCATCGAACCATGTGTCCCAAGACATGCACTTAAAACTGAACCCCGCTCAAGAAACCAGTGGAATCAAATATCCTTCTTGTTCAGTTAATTTTGGCAGGATCAAATATTCATGATTTATTGAAAAGCTCAGAGTTGAGAAGCTCGCGTTTTTGTTCCCTGGCCTCTTCTTTTTCGGCGCTTGCGTCAGGTTTCACAAAGAGCTGCAATTTGTTGACAATGACAGCTGATTCGGTTTCTCACGGATGAATATGGTGAAATTTTAGAACACTTAAGTTCGTTGTTAAAAAGATATACGAACACTAAAGCTATTAATCCCTCCATCTTAACCGAAGAAACGCTTGCGTTTTATCCGAAGCAAAATAATCAGTTGGTGGGGATTAGGCTGCGTGAGGGAATCTTTATCGTCGAGCTTTGGTTTACAAGGCGCTAACAGATAGCAAAACCTCACACACAGTGCCAAACTCAGTATTCAAATATATTCTCTTTCATTTTCTTTCTCTCTCTATTCTTCAGTGCATCGTTTGGAGAATCGTAAAAGATCGAAGGAGTGCGATTAGGAACGAAGTTGGTCCGATCTTACCATGGGGGCCAAATAAGAGTATTAGAACACGAGTTCTAGGAAGTCTTCGATTTGATTTCAATCAAACGACGGGCGGCCTGTGTCACCCCCAACTTAATAGACCTACTCCCAACCACTCATTATGCTGATAAGAGATTGCATGGCAAGTGGGTGTAATGAAATCGCTGCTTTTTCAATTTTATCTTACAACGAACTGAATTAACCTGTAGCTGGGTGGGGCCTCAGTTCACAAAGCCCTCATTGAACTACCACATGACTCTGTGCAAAAAAAATAGTGCTTTAAGATCCCGTGCTAGAGACACCTTAATTACACACATAAAAAGGATCGAGAGAAACTGTAGCCAGTCTGTACAGATTGTTTCCCTTTGGGAGTTAAGGCGCACCTCTCCTACTAAGTGCTTCACAGTAACAGAACACCTGGTACGACAACGCGCTCATGACTTCTTCTCAGGTCCATTTCACAAAGCAAACTACCTCGGGTGAGAGGGCGAATTTGTTCACAAATTCGACAGAAAAAAGACACCCACCAAGTGCGTTTAAGTAATACAACACACGGGAAGTACGACCGTCATTTTTTGCTAATTGATTTGCCGAAACCACGATTCGCTGGTGTGTCGAAAAATATTATGTTGGTTTACTTCATGGCAGGCGAGGCGTTAAACCCCTGCATCGCTGCATATCTTCACGTGCGCTCACCTTCGGAAGACTTTTCGTTTGTTTTCGTCAGAGGTCCGATCTTCATACTTGGTGTATGAAGCTTAGATATGTTTGCTTCTCTGCTGCAATCGAATTGACATTGCACATGCACTAATATCGATATTGTATACTATTACCTTCCTAATACATTCTTAATTTTATCCAGACTTTAGATGCAAAAAGTGGTGATTATAAACACAAAATGTTTGATTCAAAACAATACTTTCTAAAATAAATATAATATCAATATAAAGATGAAACCGTATGTTTGTCCTCCCTTTGATATTGGAGCCAAATCATTTTCTTCTTCTCTCTTCTGTTTTTTTTTCATATTTTGGTCAATAGTCAGTTCTTTAAATAAAGGCAAGTCGCACGCTAAAAATAAATAATATAAAAAAATAAAATAAAATATAAAAACGGCTATTTTTCTTCGAAAATTTAACCAAGTTTTGTGATTGATCAACGCCAGGCCCCTTTAACTTATTAGACATGGCATTTTTAAAGCATTTAAATTCCATCGGTATTAAAAAAAGTCCTATTTTAGAGCATTCATAGACGTTACTTAATTTTGTTTCGATTGATGTGCGTTTTAGGGAATTGGTCTTTGCATACTGTTATTAATGGATAGATAATCGATAGATGATTAGGACCAAGGTGGATTTGACGATGTACAGGTGAAGACGAATATCAAAACTGTACATCTTTCATTATTTTGTTGCCGCCAAACACAGCCTAAATTTCAAACCAAGCCTAAATTTCATGAATGGGATTTTATCTTTACGAACGGAATTACATATAAATTGCGCTAAATCTGATGGTTTACTGGATAGTTTTTTTTTCACATTCCATATGTGAAACTGAACGGGTTGCAGTCACGCTGTTGCAATGGGGCTGCTACAGACATGAAAAATCTGGATGCTTATCTTGGCATTGCGAAAGTACTCCCTCTATCGTCAGTGTAGATCCCTTTATCGTTAGTGTGGAATGTGAGAGGTGGTCAGTGGACAATGAGTTACAGGGCCGTTGGGTGTATTGCAGCTTCATTGTATTTTGACCTGAGACACTCTCTTTTTAAAATACGACACAGTCATCAAACTGTGCAAATATTGTATGTGAGAGTAATTGTCAGATGAGCTGCTGACTGATAAAAACGTTTTTTCCAGTTTGAGGGTATCATGCGACGGTCCGCATGTGACACGCCATTTTCACCACTTGTAACTTAAAAAAAAAGGTGGGTGTATATAATATGCATTGGCTTGAAGTATGCCACTGTGAAGTTAAACGATTGCAAAATTAGGTTTTTGTGCAAGCCTTTGGAGTTCGGGCGTGAACTGAAATGGGTATAAAGAAATTTCTAATCCATCATGTAACATATCTGAAAACGAGACTGCTCCGCAGCCCAAGTGGTAACGCGCCNTATTTCAGATTGCTTTTTATTTCATATGACTAAAACGGGAAAAATTTTTGGTCATTTTTCGGGCTTTGCTTTAGCATATCTTTGGACTCGGTGGTGATATTTGGTTTCTATTTTCAGTGTTTATCTTCACTTACACCATTCTCTAACATAGTGATAAAAGAATTCTTTGATCGTATGTATGTAATTTGTTAATTAGCAATATGTGGGAAAATCTGAAAAGTGCCCAGGATTGTAAAAATGCCCATATACAAACAGAAGTGAAAGTAGGCTGGGCTGTGTAATTTATTCTGGCTCGATTTATTTTGGTCAGTGGTGGTAATTTTAGAACTTGTATTGTGGTTTTTAATTTTATACCAGTAGTTGTACTTTGCATTGTAGCAATGTTTTCAATTAAATTTTAAGAAACTTGTAAACTTTGAAAAAAGCATAATTATACTTACGACTGTGTTCCTGTTCAGTTTCACATATGGAATGTGAAATATAGATCTCATACGGAAAGTTATTATCCCTTAAATATTCAGTGCATACAATGAAGTTACAAAACAGAATGAAGGAAACTTGCCAACTGTAATATTTGTTTTTTTTTAGTAAAACTTAATGCTTGCAGGCACACCAAATCACATTTTTATGTATTGATGACCTTCTGTAGGATGTGCATTCAGGGTACGGATAAGGTTGGTTTTGTTTTTATTTAAATTAATTTGTTGTGTCTAGATCAGTCAAACTTCCTGTGTGTCTGTCTATCCCTCTTTTTGAGTTTTTAAAATTTTAAGGCTTTCCTTCATTTTATATTTTTATCAAATATTAAAATGTAAGAAAATAGTTACCTATCTGAGATGATTACTGAAATATTATTTGACACCCTGGTGCACTTTGTAATTAATAATTTCCAGGACATGCAGCATCTTAATGATGATGGTAATGATCAAGACTGGGGGCAGTTGTACTGCAATGGATTCAAACTCTCTTACAGTTAGATTTTTTCTCTTGCTGCATTTGTATCTTTTATCCAAGAAATGTCAGATGTCAGCTGAACTGCTCTAACAAGGTATGAAAGGTAATTTTTTGTGTTAAAACTATAAAACTTTGTCATTTGTCTAGTGCTTGACAGTGTTGAAGGCAACGAATGTTGTAATATATCAGTCAGTTATAATTGAGTTTATGAAATACATTGAGATAATGCATCATAGATGATCACAATTATGTAAACTAGTTTATATTTTTTCTAGTAAACAGATTTTCCTTGTGAGAACAAGCTTTGCAGTCTATCCCCAGGTGTTCAGTTTGCATTAGAGGATTGGGTTTGGGCAGATATCAGTTAATCTGGACTTTCTGCATCCATGTGATGTTGACGAAATTATCAAAAACTGGTGAGAACAGTTTAAGGTACATACAAACCGAGCATTGGTGGAGCGTGGATTCCCAGTAACACATGTAAACCACTTCTACTAGATTCTTATCTGACTCAAATTCGACATGCCAAAGGATAAACTGAATAGATCACTCGATCAGCCATAAAAGAACCTCAGACTGCTCCTTTCTTTAAATTTTTGATTGTAAATTTAACCTACTTTCATGACCTACTTTCCTGCCCCATTGACATACAGCTTAGAATGCCAGCAGAAAAATCCCTTCAAACATCATTTTCGGGTAAAATTAAACAATGCCTTTTGGTAATTCTCTTAGTTATACTACTTGAAACTATATGCTGGCATTTGGTTGGTTTTTGTGACAAAAATTGACTTTGTATGCATCTTTAAGAGAGGTGGAGGTAATTTTAACATTGCATGATTTTTCATTTTTGTTAGATTTTCATATATGAGTGCTTTAGAAGTGATCTTTTGGACACTAGCTATATTTTATGATGATATATACTCAACCAAATATTATTTTTCAATTATTAAAGCACTATGTAATGTAGTGAGAAAATATTCAGTGCATGTAAAAAAGTAATGAATGGTGTGTGCATTACCCATCAATATTTGGTTAAAATATTTTCCTTAGCATCTACGTTTTTTTTTTGTAATAATCAAAAATAACAATGTTTTAGAACTTTTTAGTCAAGTTATTGAAGACAATACTGATTTAAATATATATTTGTTTTAAATAAAAAAGAGTTGTTTTTATTACAAAGAGCTAGACAAATTGTATCCGATTCTTTTCAGTTGTGCAGAATGACATTTGGTGCTGATGTTATTTTTGGTTGAGGTGGCTCCCTAAGGACTGCATTTTCTGAATCGGCAAACAGATAATGGGGCCTGTTTGACCAAGAAAACTACTTAAAGGTGAGAAGGAGGACCTCCAGAACCAGCCAAAGTATGTGAAAAAGAATTGGCACTGGGCTTCAGATTGAAAGCGGTAATTTGTTGTTAACTTCCCATACAGGAGGTGTGTTTTCAGATATCGGATACTTTTACAGTAAATGATTTCAGGTTGCATGTTTGTTTGAATGGCAAAATGTTTTTGGGTGTAATGGGTTGGTTTTTTGCTTTGTAAAGCAGATGCCTACTAGTGACCCACACAAAGTGGACAAGCTGATTTTATGGAATGGAAAGTTAGTTTTTTTTGTTTGTGTTCTATAAAGATTTACATTTGATGTTGAGCATATACTTTTATTTAGTTATATAATAGTATTTTTGCCAAATCAGTTAAAGGGATAATAACTCTTCGTATGAAATCTGTATTTCACAATAAAAACATTGTGAGTGACTCATAAAAATATAATATATTCTGTTTTCCCACAAAAACGGCTGTTATAGCTATTATTCTGATATCTGAGCTTGTCTTTAGACCACGTGACCTCCATTGATGGCTATACTCTGTTAAAATCTCTTAAGAGATTTTAACAAAAAACCAAACTTTTTAGAAAAAAACCAGGGACTAACTTTGAATGTAAAAATGGATTCATTAACCATTGGTAAGTATGGGAAAATTGTTGTTTACTCCAGGAAAATTCATTTTTTGGCCGAAACGAAGAGTTATTATCACTTTAATAATAAAAGCAACAAGTTGTACAATGTTGTGCAAACAGGAAATCTTGAATATCCAGTTTGTACAAGCCTGCATAGTTATCATAGAAGTTGTCAATGTCATTGAATGTTTCTGATAGTCATCTTTTAGACAGTTGGGCATAATACTGTTTACTTCAAGGACTTCCTTACAAATTTTAAATGTAGTGTTTCTGTTTGACATTCATCAGTGAGTAGCCCTAATTTCTAATTTGAAGGTGACAAATGGGAAATATATCAGGTTGACTTTTTATTCTCCACCACCATCCTCATTTCAAAATACCCAAGGAGCTATTGGTTCACACCTGCTATGCCTACACAATGCAGTTAGATCTTTTTTTTCATTCCTGCAACAGTAACCTGTGGTACATAGTTTGTTGATAGAATGTTTGAAATCTCCAACAGTGGAGAAAAGACAAAAATCAAGGATAAGGATATGTACTCATTTAAAAAAGTATTAACAGTACATAATTGGATGAAGATTTTTAATGGTTTATTTACCCAACATTCCTGGATAATGTAATCCTTCAAGCACAGGCTTCAAACAACTGCGCATGTGCGAAAAGTGCGCTGTTTGAAATGAACAAGTTGGTGAAATTGACAAAGCCTGCCGGTGTTTACCGTCTGGTTGATTTTATTTCATTAGCTCTCTGGTGTCTTTTTGAAAGTTTATATTAGAAATGTTCTATTGATTTCATGTTGTAAAAAGTAAATCCGTCTGAATTCCTTAGAAAAACATTTATTTTACCTTCATCTTAAGGGGATTCCCATTGTATTTATAGTGTTATATGTGGCCCCAATGAGGATTTTCACACCTCCCCCACTCTTGATTAATAAAATTCTTCATCTGGAGGATTGTAAATTATATTGCAAAATACACTGAAAATCGTAGGAAGGTTAACTGCAGATAATGCTGCGAGGATATTCTTAACAGTGGGGGAACTCGGCCAATATAAAATTTTTAACTTCGTTTTACGATTTTGGAGCGCCTGTTCTAATTTTTGAAAGCGAGGCAATGGAACCAAACAATGCGATACAATTTGTAATCTCGTAAAAATTGTTATTTTTATATAAAGGTTATAGCATGGAGTACATCCAAATGCGACTTGTTTGTTATTATGATCTTTAATAATAATTAATATAAAACAAACGATATAATACGTTCTTAACGTTAGCCTATTTATTAGCTTAATTGGTTTTTTTTTCGTATTTGGAGATTAAAAACACAATAGTTGTCTTTTTTCATATCGAGGCACTACGTTTCGTTCTTGTGCTAATCCTTCAGTTAAATTTTAACATATCAAGTTCATTTAATCTCTACGCCACTATATCAGTGACCCAGTGGTAATCTACTCCATCTCTCTTTCAGTATTAAACTACGTCACCAACTCCAACACTACCATATCAATGATCCAGTGACCATTTACTCCCACTTTCCTTCTGTTTTAAAAAAATATTAAGTACTTCATCTGCAATATGAGCATTTCACTGACCCAGTGATCATCTGCTTGTCTCTTCTTCAGTATTAGACTTCATTATTTACTATGTTAACACTATATCAATGTTACAAAGACATCCTACTATATACTATATCAATTTAATTCCGAATGTCTAAAACCTTTGATTCAGGCAGTTGTAACATGAATTCCACAGGTTCTTTGGTTTCTCTACCAAGCATCATCATATTTGGCATAAAGCTAGTATGTTTATTTGGAATTGGTCTGGTTAAAAGAGGTAAATAAACATCCCACATTATCAGTACAGCCACTTAAAAACCATCTTATAGCCTGGAATAAAGTATTGTATCTCTCAACCTGCCTATTCGCAGCTGGTCTATAAGGAATTGTGTGCATTTTTTTTCCTATGTCCAGTAATTTGCATATTGTTACGCCTTCGTAGCCGAGTGCTTTATGAAGGTACACTATACTCTTTGGTGTAAGCATCAATAACAGAGTCCGAAAAACTGTAAGAGGCTGTCAGTGAGTGTCAGAGAGACCCCAAAGAGAGCGATTTATTTCAAGTCACACCTTATATACATGTTCAGATTTGTACAATGAACAGTGTTACCAATCACAGGAGAGATTCAAACTTGCACACCAGACTATACTTTACTTATAGAGACATCTAACGATAGCAATATAAAACAATCGCAATGAGCACACTACATCGTCACTCACTCCCCCATTTTGACAAACAAAACTTCCCCCTATTATTACAATATAAACCATTACTTTAAAATTTTAAACTAACAATTATTATAATTCAACTGAAATCTTACTTTATATTTAAAATAAACAAGTAATGCAAAGAGTTCATTCTTGTTATGCCAAGAGTCAACATTAATAACACAAGAAAAATCAATCAAGTCCATGTCTCAGCATAATGTCCATCCTTAGGAAATCAAAAAGTTTTTAAATCCATTTTCACTTTAAAACAACTTTAAAGTAAACAAAGTAATTTTAATTCAAATTTGCGTAAAACAATATTATTAATGATAACATTGTCAGTATGAAATGTCAAATCATATTATTCATCTTTTATCCATGCAGCAAAGTAAATTTCATTTGCCGATACCAATGACTACTGAGTTCACGATCCTCTGATGAAAGTTTTTGTAACAGATGATACAAAGTCCTCCAGTGAAACAAAGTCAACAAAGAATTCAGAATCTCAGGCTCAGGCTCCATACCATTTCCATGAATATATATTTTCACCAAATTAATGTCCTCCTCGGAACATTTATTTGGTAATTTTGTTAGTCCCTCACTTTGCACATAGTTCATCAGTTCCCATATATTTCTCATATTTAGTGTCAAGATCAGAATATATATAAATCCATTCACCAACTGGATCCACAGTTTTTCATCGAATTCACCAGTTCCACACGAATGAACATCACTGTGGCATCTACGTAAAAATGAATTGTCCTTTTCCATTGATCTACAACACCAACACACCAATCCTGGAGTCATATACCACGTCAAATAAACAGACTTCACATGACGTCCAAGATGTCCACTCAAGTTGGTACTGGACACCAGGGACAAACTACACTGAACTTCTTTTCTCTGTTTCTTCCTGCGCTTTGAGTGGGTAACTTCCTCCCCCTCTTCACCAATTAGGACAGTAGTATCTTCCACTAGATCCGTGTCATTATAATCGGGGACAAAACAGGCTTCATCTAGCATGTCTAAATCGTCCATATCTGAAATAAACTTATTTACTAGTTTATTTTCTTGAATAAAAACAAAAGAAAAACAATAATTTGAATTGCAACATATTAGTTTGAACAGTGTAACAATGTTAGGCAATATTCAATCAATTTTGCATGTAGCGTCCAATATCTTAACAAACGCAGGTTGTCTGTTTGAGCCTTTATTGATCCACTACAAGATATGTTCTGAAATAATAATAAATAAAGATACTTAACATCTATACTTCATGATCCTTTTCAATATGACTTACTTATATAACGACTGAATGTCACTGTTATTAAATCAATTTCTTTTATAAGTGCATAACAAAGTTAAGAAGAAACAAATTAATTCCAAAATTAAATGATAACATGCATAAACTAGCTACTCACTAGACTTGTCTAGCCTCGACTTGTGAAACATGACAAAATACCGTATAACCTTTGTCTGCTGACACTGTAATAAATATAAAACAACTTCATGAAATTATGTAGCTAGCTGAGATAAACATACTCAATATCTAAGGAAAGAAAATAAACGTAAACTATCAGGCCTGACAAAGTTTGTTTGTTAACCACGCCTAATACATTCATGCATTATAACACGTGTTCTTAAAATGCCTTTACATTACTTGCAAATTTATATGCTAATTACGTAATGAGCTATAAAATAGGTCTAGTAACCAAGCAACATATATAAAATGAGTTTTAAGAAAGGACCGGGCAAATACATACTGTACTTATTTGTCTTTTTTCCTACTTTCTCTTCATACGTACGAGTGTTGCGTCCTCCGTGAATCTGAACGTGTGCACCTCTCCCAACTTACGAATCTCTTTCTTCTAAAGATTATTTTCTCAACCAAATACATAGCAATTGCACCAAATGCAGTATGTGAGATTACATGGTAATTACTTTCCCTTAAACACGGGATATAGAATTCTAGCCACTACATTGTTCATGTAATGAAAATGACTATAATCTAAAAAATATAAAAGTATTCATGCATAATTGTTCAATGCATCATGCTCAACAACAAATTTCAAACAAATATTTAGTAAACATATACCAACTTGGACTGTTGTTTTGATCAAGTTACCTGATATATAATATGAAGTACAAACTATCAGATACTTTATGAATCTTTTTATTATGTACAGACACAGATGTGTCTGTACATATAGCCATCATCTGCGTCTGTCGTCGCCGTCACCGTCGTCGCTGTCGCTGTCGCCGTCGTCGCCATGTACTTTCCTTGCCATTTTACCTTTTGGCTTGAAACTTACAGAACTGATGAATATTCATAATACGCCGGTCAAGTTCGAAAATCAGCATTATCGGGCCATTTTTAGGGAAGTTATGCTTTTTTTCACTTTTTTCAGCATATATGCAACACCGTAAACACGATAAGTGAAAAACTGTATTACATTTTGGTTTGAAACCTACAGAACTGTNTTATTTTTAGACCTTTTAATACCCATACAATTTTCCCCTAAGATAATAGATAATATTAATATGATTTTCTGTGGATAGTTCATTAGCATATCTGTCAAAATTGTCTATTATCCAATCATATTCTTTTTCAGTAAGGAGGTTTTCCCTCCACATTCTTCCCACAAACACTCTTTCAAAACTCTTGGCTGGACAGCTTTTAAAGAACAGTTAAAGTGTTTGGATTTTCTTTCCAATCTTGTATCCATGCATATGGGGTCTCTTCCTGTACATCTATTTGCAATATGTTTGTATCATCCATGATCTAAATGAAAATACAAATGATTAGAATAAATTCCTTCTATTTCAGCACTGCCAAAAATTTAAGGAAATAAAACTTTACCTTAACTAATAAACAACATATAAATCAATATAATCATTCTAAGGTAAAGTCTCTGAAGTGAGATGGCATCTTAATTTGTCTACCTGTTGTAATAACCAGCCAGCTGGTTATTCACACCTTCTTAGAGTTACTTTTTCACCAATAAGTCAACTGAGACAAGCAGGTATAGTTTTCTGCTACATGATTTATTCAATCGACTGTATAACTCGGGGTCTCTGCTCTCTTTCTCCATCTCTCTCTGTGGTATCTATAACTGTCTCCCTAACTCTCTCTCCGTGTCATTTCTCTGTGTCAATCTACTAGTATCCCCCTCTTTGTGGCTCAGTCACTGCCTTTATACTCTATCTTAATTTGCATTTTAAATTAACTTTCATAACTGACATGAAACATGCCATGCCTATATACATTAAAACTTCATTGTAAATACATAAAAATTATATCTTGCTTTACATTTTAAATGAACTGCCATGCAACATGTCATGCCTATATGCATTTGAATAATTAAAACTTAAACAAATATGCATATCTCATGTATGCAAATTTAGAAGACTATCAGTACTAATTAATGGTTCACTACACTGTAACGGTTCATAACAAAGTACACTTTTCTTTGTTTTTATTCTCGTTTATTCAAGACCATTGTGCTGCAGAGATATACAGAGCGATGAGCAAACAAGAATGCAATCATCATAATAATCTTATTCATAGCTATAATCTTACTATATGATAACTATAATAATAATGATAATGTTAATAAAAGAATTAACAAAATTATTGACCACGTACGTGCAAAGATATACAGAGCGATGAGCAAATAAGAATGACAGAAAAGGGCGGCGACGATATTTATAAATGACGAAAGGCGGGAAAGATGACCAATGGGAATGAGAAAGTAAGATGACGCCCACGTGACAAAACAAAAGACGAACACCAGTGAAGACAATACATTCATACGGCTACATACCAAAGCTTGACCTTTTTATAATTGGTTCCACTAACTGTGGTTCATTCAAATGAAAAGCACCTTCTCTTTTAACAAATTTTCTCAATTTGTCATGATGTACCACCTGGATTTTTCCTTTTTTATCTTTAATTGTATAGAGAGGTGGAGTTGCTTTGATAACATCATATGGTCCTCTTTAGATAGGTCTAAGTTTCTTACTTTCTCCCTTCTTATGACTTTCAAATATACCTTCTGACCACAAGTATATTCACTCTCTCAGCTTTGCATCATACAATTGTTTTTGACGTTTCTGCACATTTTTCAGTTTTTCTCGAGCCATTTCATGTGATCTCACTCAAGTTTTTCAACCATTCATGAGTCTCATATGGTATCAAATTTTCATTCAAACAACCTGTTAGTAAGTGCAATGGCATAAAAACTTCCCTCCCTAAGATCATCATGTTTGGAGTAAACCCTGTAGATGTATTCACAGTTGAATGTAATGCCATAACTAATTGAGGTGATCTCTATCCCAATATCTCACATTTCCTACATATTACATCTAATCATCTATGTAATAATACCCATGCATCTTTCAACTTGTCCATTAGCATTTGCTCTAAAACCAGTTGTTCTAAGTTGTTTGATTTCTAATAAAACTACACAAATTTCTAAATAGGCTACTTTGAAAATTTGACCCTTGATCTGTATATATCTCTTGTGGACAACCAAAAGTAACTACATGTATGAATTTTTCAAAAAATGCTTTTGCTACTAATTCAGCTGTCTGATTTGGCAAAGCCACACATTGTATCCACTTAGTAAACTGATCTATCATAACCAAAATATAAGAATTCCCAAATTCACTTTGTGTAAATGGTCCTAGTATGTCTAAATGTACCTTTTCCATAGGAAATCCTGCTTGATGTAATTTCATTGATTGCAATACAACCTACACAGGGTCAAATTCATTGATTTCTGTTGGCAATACTGCTGTGTGACCTGAATGCATGTTTTCTAACATTCCTCTTTGCCACATTTGTAAAAGGGACTGGTTCTTTTCAGTTGAAACAGGGTGATGATTCATTTGCTGAATATACTCTTTCAAAGACTTGTTTAGTCTAGGCATGTAAACATAATGAAGACTATATAAATGGACATCATCCAATATGTTGAGAATTCCTTCATCTTCCATTGATTCAAAGATTCTTGATTAAAAAGCAAGAACTCCAGAATAAATATCACCNGAAAGGACGCCGTCCAGTGTAAAGGGGCCCTTAGTAAATGTAATTGGCATAAAAACTTCCCTCCCTAAGATCATCATGTTTGGAGTAAACCATGTAGATGTATTCACAGTTGAATGTAATGCCATAACTAATTGAGGTGATCTCTATCCCAATATCTCACATTTCCTACATATTACATCTAATCATCTATGTAATAATACCCATGCATCTTTCAACTTGTCCATTAGCATTTGCTCTAAAACCAGTTTTTCTAAGTTGTTTGATTTCTAATAAAACTACACAAATTTCTAAATAGGCTACTTTGAAAATTTGACCCTTGATCTGTATATATCTCTTGTGGACAACCAAAAGTAACTACATGTATGAATTTTTCAAAAAATGCTTTTGCTACTAATTCAGCTGTCTGATTTGGCAAAGCCACACATTGTATCCACTTAGTAAACTGATCTATCATAACCAAAATATAAGAATTCCCAAATTCACTTTGTGTAAATGGTCCTAGTATGTCTAAATGAACCTTTTCCATAGGAAATCCTGCTTGATGTAATTTCATTGATTGCAATACAACCTACACAGGGTCAAATTCATTGATTTCTGTTGGCAATACTGCTGTGTGACCTGAATGCATGTTTTCTAACATTCCTCTTTGCCACATTTGTAAAAGGGACTGGTTCTTTTCAGTTGAAACAGGGTGATGATTCATTTGCTGAATATACTCTTTCAAAGACTTGTTTAGTCTAGGCATGTAAACATGATGAAGACTATATAAATGGACATCATCCAATATGTTGAGAATTCCTTCATCTTCCATTGATTCAAAGATTCTTGATTAAAAAGCAAGAACTCCAGAATAAATATCACCATGCACTCTCTCAACTCTGGAGTTGTGCATAGATGATCCAGTTATAATGCTTCCTCTTTCTTCACCACGGTTTTCTATCATATATTGCCCAACATAGTTTTCCATGCCACAGTCACAACGAACACATGATGGAAGACCCCATTCTTTCACAGCATTTTGGAAAAAGACAGGACTGTATCTGCCTTATTGTTATTGCAGCAACAAGCATATATTAACAATCTTGTTTTGCCATCAATGCAAATATGAGTTGTGAGCTTATATCATATCAGTTTATGGCCAGAATCAATATGCCAAAGGCTGTTTGGAATTGGAACATAATATTTCCTACGGTGAATAGTCATTCTCCCTCGTAAGCTAGTGCCAACAGGATCTAAACGCCGTAAACACTCAGTGACTCTCCATCTTTGGACATGTAATTCCCCAACTTCTAAGTGTGCCAATGAACCTCCTCCTGCCAATATTTGGGGTAACAGGACCTTTATTTGAGTCACCTGTGACACTTTCATATATCATATCCAGCTCATCATCTGTTATATCTGAATAACCCTCAAATTCATCACTAAGTCCAAACTCTCTTGTCTTCTTTGGATGGTTGAAACATTCACTTGAAGGATGTCTGCTTTTTTTGCCAAGGAAAGAATAATGCACGCAAATGTTCTTGCTGTTCTTTAGTGATGCAATAGGGCTTGCGACCAGGTCCACTGTGTGAAGATACTAAAGAAGCAGAGTAAGCAGCATCTTGGTTACATTTACCTTCCTCCTCTGTACTCACATTTGTGACTCTAAGCATGAGGATGAGAAGAGATATGCATCTCCTTAGTTCTGAAGTGGTTCTTGAATTGCGCTAGCTGGAAATCCAGTCGGATTGGGATCTCCTTTCTCAATATCAGTTTCTAAAAGCAACAAGGCCCCATTGGCATCCACTAGCTGACGCCGAGCTTCACTGCATGATTCAGCTGTTAGTTAGAAATCAGAATTTAAAAAGAGTCTCAGAACAGTTTTTAAGTTCTGTAGAAAATGACAAAAACCTGTATTTCTTATTCGTAAAACTCATCTTCGATTCTGGGCCACCATTTTGAAAGATGGTCATAAGAGTTTGTGAGTTTGAAAAGGTTGGCCTTCGCCTGTCAATGCTGACAGTTTTGCGATATTTTTCTTACCATTTTTGATATCTTTCTTAATCGCTTTCACCAGTACACTTTCGCATTCAATTCCTCCGCCATTTTGAAAGTTGATCGCAAGGGT